GAATGCTGTCTGTGCCCATTCGCGGACGGCCAGGAGCGAGGCTGTCCATGCGTCCTTGGGGCGGTCCCTGTCCAAAGGTCGCGCACGATGGCGTGGTTCGGCATGGTATGGGCATTCCGTACTTGGTGCATCAGCTGGCTGAGCTCGTCCAGGAGGGCCTACTCGTGTGCTGCTGTGTCCTGCGTGGCGGCTCGCACTCGCTGGGCCGTCACGGTCAGGTTCTCGAGGAGCTGGTTAAGGCCTACAGGGCCTGGTGGGAGTGCGTGGGCGTCTTGGGTTTGGTCGTCAGGTGGCGCTTCTGGTGGTGGCTGCTCTTCTTCCCAATCGCGCATGTCGCAGGTGTCGTCGAAGTCTGCGACGTCCTGGAACGGGCTTGCCTCTGAGACTTCCATGGTGCGGTTGGTGCCGCTGGCTGCTGTCGTCGCGAGCGCGGTGTCTTGGGGCGCCTCTGGAACTTCGCCATCAGCACAGTCTTCGCCAGTTCCAGCAGAACTCGGGCAACGAAAGACCCCAGACTGAGGGCCGATTATAACGGGAACCAAAGCACCCACGGCCCAGCGGGCGCTTCCCGACGCAGAACCCTCGGGGCGGGGACCCCCCATTCTGACAGTTCCGACGCTTCTCCCGAGGCCACGCGTACTGGACGGTGCAGGTGTTCCACTCTGCGTTGCTGAACGCGTTGTTGAGGTTCTGCGAGGCCTCAAAACCGACGGCGACCCAACCGTTCGGAGTGGCGCAATTTAAATAAGAGGGCGTGGCCGAAATTGAAGTAGTCGCCCTGGCAGAACTTGAAGTCGGGCTACCCGTCGCCGACAAAGGCGCAATCCTTCGTTGTGTCGCAGTTGAAAGCGAGGAGCTGCGAGGAATCGAACCGCCGGGCGCCGTTGAAATTCGCATGGCTGTGCTCTTCCCTTCCTGCAATGATTTGCCGAGAGGAGAGACTGCGCGCCCCCCCCCCCCCCCGCGCGCGCCTGCCTCCAGCGGCGCTCTGCACGACGGGGCCCCCACCGCGTGCTGCGATCCCTGGGGCATCTCGGCCACCTCAGGCCAGGTGAGCATGCTGCCTGAGGTGCCCGAAGCTGAGCTGGTAGATATTGGAGGGGGCGCTGCGCTGGCGTGCGCTTCTCTGTCGCAGAAGCTGCGGTTGCAAAATGTCTGGAGCTGGCTGGTCAAACTGAGCCATACGTTGGTCTGGGCCTTCTGGGGGCCTGACTGGATGCACGTCGGGTCGGGTGGGCGGATGAGCTGCTCGGGTTGGCAACGCAAAGCTTGACCTCGACGTCTCGCGTCACTGGTGGCCTCGGGGTCGGCGGGGCCCAGGAGGGGGACTTTCGCTGCCATGGCCCAACGCCCGTGCTTCTCGGCGAGCTGGTTGGAGACGCCTGGGTCCAGCTGGTACGCGATGCTTTGCTGCGTCTCACTTTTGGGCTCCGATATGTGGACGTCGGCCACCTCGGCTTTGGCGGCCTCCCAATTGCTCTCCTCGGCCACGCATGAGACCTGCTTGGGGTTGCAGTCCTGGAGGAAGTGGTCTTGGATGTCGGCGCCCCGTTCCAATGGTTCACGTTGTTCCGTGCGACGTAGCTGCGCGTGGCGCTGGCGGTCCAGCTGCCTGCGCTCGATGCCCTTGGGGGCGTGCGCGGCGACGTTCGGCATCTCGAGCGCTGCCGTCAGCTGGGGCCTCATGCAGGCGACTGCGGCGGGCCGCGAGTGGAGCGTCTGCTCCATGCCTGCGCGTGGCTGCCATGGCACCATATTTACTAGTTCGACTGCTTTGACCAAAGGGTAGAAGTATGGCGAGCATAGCCCCCAGTCCAAGAGTCGGCCTGAACTCCCACCACAGGTGAACTCGCAGTTCGGCAGGAAGTGCTCGGCATTGAAGGCTTCGTGCCACCGCGAAGCCTGGAACGGTAGCGGCGTGCAGTTGAAGTCGCCAAGCGCCATCCACGGCATTCCCAGAGCCTGGGCCAGGGCGATGGGCTTCGAGAGCCCGCCGACGTTAGCAGGGTGATTCAAGCCCTTGGGGTCCGACGTAGTAATGTAGACGGCGATGAGGGCGATTGTGACGTGCTTCGAGCGGACCGTAGCGATGGCGATGTCTCGAAGCTGGGCGCCTAAGACATTGCTGCCATTAGCTGGCGAGAGGTGTGGGAAAGCGTTGAACGGCCTGGCTCGGGCCCAGAGTCAGAGTGCCCGCTGAGCTCCCCTTTCCCGTTGTGGGCGTAGCTGGTGCTGTGGAATATTCCGCGCGCCGGCCCACTCCCCTGAGATAGCGTTGCTCGTCCTTCATCTGCTTGCCATGCAAGTGTGCTTCTACGAAACCCATTAAAACGCATGGGGCATCCCCGCAGAATTCGCGGACGGCGTAGGAACAATGACGGATACTGGCGGCGAGGATCTCCAAGTCGTGGTTGGCCACGCGCTGGTGGCTAAATAGAAGACTCCACTTCCACGCCCTTGCCGTGGCCCTTGGAGGTCTTCGCCGCCATCTGGGCAGCCCTGACCTTCGTCTGCTCGGTGACGAACTAGTCGATGTCATCTGGCTTCGGGAAATTGCACGGAGCCTCTTTCGCAGGTGGTCTTTCGGCGGGTTCAATCGGCTGCGTGGCTGTGGCTTTTCCTTTGGTCTATTGCCCTAATTGGCGTCATTCTTTGGTGGCGATGCTCTTTCGGAACTTCTTGGCGGCATACACGGCGGCTTGAGATTGTTGTTGGCCCGTCTTGCGGTGCAGACGCAGCTTTGGCCTGCTGGTGGGTCTGCTTGGCCTGCTCACAGGCACGCCTTTCTGCTGATTCAAGTAGCTCCAAATCGCCTTCCTCCAAATGGGGGGATTCATTTTCGTGGGCCTCCGCTGGCTGCTCAGGAGGAGCTGCTGCTTCGGGGCGGAAGCGCTCGGTAAGCTGCTCCACCTGTACCCATCGGTAGGTAGAACTATGAAGTAGGAAGGCACTGGAAGTAGATTGGGCCTCCGCCCGCCCCCTGATGAGGAGGCAAGAAGGAAGCCAGTCGATCCTTGAAGTAGGAAGGCACAAAAAGTAGATTGGAATCTGGGAATCCAAAAATACCCACTTTCAACGACCGATGGGTATAGCTGCTGTAGCATGCTCCTCAATGCTGGCCTTGGGCTTCTCCACCAACTGTGCCTGCCAGTCTGCTGCTCGCTGGGGCCGGTCGCGGAGTCGCTGCGGCTGCGCCTCCGGGCGGCGGAGGGAACCCGCCGCGTCTTCGAGCTGCTTGGTGACGGGCTTGGGCGGCGGAGTCGTGGGCTCGGTGGCGTCGGGGAGCTGCGGCGCGGACAGCTTGGCGCCTTCGTCGTCGCCGCTGGCGCGCAGGGCCTGCATTGCCTTGCGCATGGTCTCGACGACGGACGGGTCTGGTTCCTCTTTGGCGAAACGAACGACCGACTGGGCACAACAGTGCAGTCCAATCGAACTCGTTGCACTTGTCACAGCGCTCCCGTCCTGGCTTAAGGGCCTGGGTTTTCCATCTCCAGCTGGTACCAGGAGGCCAGCGAGGACAGACCAGGTAATCATTTGAACGGCGAGCACTGGGCGACTTCGAGCGGGGTTTGACATTTCATTTCTGGGTCCCCTGGAGCAGTCGCGGCCCATGTCTTAGCCAGAAGAAGACAATAAATAATACGGATATCGCTGGCCCGTTTGGGCCACCCCTCAACTCGGAACCAAAGTGTGCTGCACGCGGGCTTGCGCACAGCATCAGGTGTGGTGGTGCCGATCCGGGGACTTTCGGTATGCAGAGTGTTCTGAACAAGCTGCAGGCCGAAATGTTACTTGAGAGGAGGAGGAGGAGGAGGAGGAGGAGGAGGAGGAGGAGGAGGAGGAGAGATCTGGTGATGGTGGGGGGAGGAGAAGGCGGCGGAATAGGATCATGTTGGCGTCTCTCGGATGATGCTGGTGAGGACCAGGAGGGAGGAGGCGGACTGCAGTCTGACTATAACTGCCTTTTTGGGGCCTCCTGGGGGAGGCCCTGGCGGCCACGGCCAGATTCGCCCCGGGGTCCTGGCCATGGCAAGCTCCAGGGCGGGTCCTGGCGTTTCGGCGGTGGACAAACCTCCCTTTAGTAAACCTCCCCTTAGTGAAAACGGCCTGGGACCGAAACCGACGGACCTGGACCCGCAAAAATGACGGCCGCGACGCCCTCTCGCGAACCGAAAACGGCAAATTCCTTAATCGACGTGTCAGGGTAGGAAGTCTATCCACCTCCGAGCTCTGTCCTCGAAGAGGTGGCGGCGCCCAGACCTCCAACGCGAGGGGCAATCACGATGTGCGCGTTCGCCCCTCGCGTGCGCGGCGTGCGCTGCCGCTCGGATCCCCCGGGGCCCGCTGGCCCCGGGGATGGTCGGGGGCTCTGATCCTGAGGCCCACACGGCGGACAACACGTGCCGCTGAGGTCTGCTGCTCGGCCAAGGGGGGCTCCCTCCCTCCAGAAGGAACCGGCACCCCTGCAGGGGACACCCAGGGCAACCGGAAGGCCATTGTCCGCCCGCAGGGCCGGTGCCCCGTGAGCCGCTCTCTCTCTCTCTCTCGCCCTCTCTTTCTTTCTGTCTTGTTTGTTTCTCTCTCTCTCTCTCGCTCTCTTTCCACGCATACATACATACACACACGTGAACAATCGTATGCATTTATACGTACGGGTTTTTTCCGAATATCACTCACCCTCTCTCTATGTGTGTTTATATATATACATATATATATATATATGTATGTGTATCGTCGGGGAGGGGTACGCGGAGGAGAGGAGTTGCACGGCTCAACGGAGGAGGAGGAGGAGGAGAGGAGGAGGGGAAGGAGGCGGAGGAGGATTAGCAGCAGGAGGGGAAACGCTCTCAAAATTTTCCCCAAAAGAGTAAGAAGAAGACCCGTGTCTCTGTTCGTCGATCCGATTCGACATACCGATCCATCCTCTCCGTCAGTCACTTTTTGTTGCTGCTTTGATAGTTCGGGCTTGACCCTTCGTGGAAATAAAACGCGACGGGTGTTTAGGGCTTTGGGGGGGGTCCGGGGAGTCGGGCGAGAGCTGCTTCTGTAGACAAGACTTGACAACAACATCGAATGGGAAGACACACTATTCGAACTTGGAAGTCTCGCCTGACGAGCCGTCATAATACCGATGCTACCCACTCTGAAACTTGACGCAGTTCCCTGCTGCAGACATCTCACGAATAACTTGACCAGTGAAGCACATGCCAAGACAATCAAAACACGGCGGCAAACCTGAACTCCCGCACACAAACAACCGCAAACATGTATTGCAAGTCCGTGGATCTGTCACGTGGGCGCGTGCGAAGCCAGTGCCGCCTGACTTGGCGACGGTGCGTGCCGATTTCTGCATATAAACTGGACCTGTCGCTAATCCACGCGTCTTGATCTGTGGTTGCGTTCCCCCGGCCATTACTAAGGGGGCCCAGTGAAACAAAAACAAATAGACACACATCCCAGCATCCCCCATATTTTCCCATATTTCTTGGTTCTCGTCGTCCCCACACTTCCATCTTTTCCTACATTATCCTGAAAATCAACGAGTCATCGTGTCTGTGTGTTTCTTCCCCTCCTGACTTGTGCGCGCTTCCAGCACTGAAGGTGCCCGCAAGGGTCTGGCGCGCGGGGGATGGGCCTCGAAGAAGGCGGGGAGCTCCTTCGAGGGCAGGGGCCCTCCCGGAATGCTCTTGCGGCTTCTCAGAATGGCGCAGGGACCCACCGTCCCCGCATTCCTGTGGGCCCACCACGAGATGATCTTAGGACTTAGAGGCCTCCTAGATAGGGGTCGGAGTAGATGGGGTCGGAGGTTTTCGCCGCATCGCCGATACATTGACGATGCACCGCCGATGCATCGGCGGTGCATCGGAGACGTCGGTGATGCATCAGCGACGTCGGCATGGAGAATATTGGGCTTCACATCGAGCCGCATCGCCGATACATCGCCGATACATCGCCGATGCATCGGCGATACGTCGTGATCCTCCGACCCCATCTACTCCGGCCCCATTGAAGAAGTCTATAATAATGCTCTGACAACAACATGACACCCCTCAGAACACAGAGCCGATGTGCCAGAACAAGGCAGCCTCGGCCAGAGCGATGTTCTGATCACTGTGTCCGTGCAAGCCACGAACAATTCTCAGAGCAGTCTTCGGTGGGCCCATAAAGCAGGCCGGGACGCCTCGCCACTGAACGGCCTCTGGAAACAGCAAGCGTGAGCACCCAGCCGAGCCCGCTCCCCGACCCCACCCTGGGGCACCCCCCCGGAGAACCCGGAATCGGATCGACAAATCGGATCGGCAATCGAAATCCATCGGGTAAGGGGGAAATCGGCAGCCGAGTCGGGAAACGTCGAATCGGCGGAAATCGGCAGGCTACTAGGCCTCCATTGAGACATCGGAGCCCCGATCGGAATCCGAAGTCGAATCGAATCGGAAGCCCAGCGAAGTCGAACCGAATCGAAGCGGAGGAATCGCAACGAGCACCCAGCTGGGCCCGCTCCCCGACAGCCCCTGCCCCTGCTGCGGCGGCCTCGGGGACGCACTGACCCAGGTCGGCCCAGGACCCGGGCCGGCCAGGACCCTGCCGCGCAGGCCGGCTGGCCGCTCAGTGCAGGGGGCAGAAGATCCCCCCCCATAATGTGAAGGGGCCCAGGGACGCACAAATACATACACACACACAAATCTCAGGATTCCGAATATTTTCCCATACTTTTAGGGTGGTCAGCTCCCCCCACCTCCCATATTTTCCCATCTTTGCTGGGGAATCGACGATTCATTGTGTCTGTGTGATTTTCCCCTCCTGATCATAACCACCCCGACACGCGAAGCCGTTGAGTAAACGCACCCACAGACGGCATCGAACAGGGCGGTGCTGTTTAGTAAACGCCCAGGTCGTCCAGTGAACGCCAACTACTGGGTAGTCGAAGCCAATCTGGCGCCAATCTGGCAGGCCCAATCTGGCAAACGGGGGCAATCTGGCGAGGGAGCCAACGCGAACCCAGTCTGGCGAATAACCCAAATCCTCCAACATGGCCAGGCCAGATTGGCCCATGGGGCCCAATCCAGTCTGACAGTCTGGCCTTCGACTACCCAGAACTATCTTGGAGGGCCTGGGGGGGTCTGGGGACGATGTTCTGGAGGGTTCTCCCGCGGGGGGGGGTCTGAAATGGCTTGTCTTGGAGGGTCCAGACCCCCTCCCTTTCATTACGAAATCTGAACTATCGGGTCCGGGTGGTTTGTCCTCCCTTGACAGCAGCTCCCCCAACCCCGGCTCGGCTCTGCTCGGCCGGAGGCCTCCCCAAATCCGAGGCGCCTCGCCGCTGCCCGACTCCGCAGGCTTCTTCCCCCTGGGGCCGATGGGGGGCCTCCGGGAAGCCGCCTGCGCCCCCCTTCGCGACCACCCCTTCCCGGGGGAGCCGCCGACCTGGAGGGGCCAACGCTGCGCGTCGCTCGGAAGAAATGGGTAAACACATGAAGCAGGGAGGCGGATCAAGTTATGCTCCCATCGCACTTCAGGACTACGTCCCAGAAACAGTTTCGAGCACCCGGAAAGGTGTCGAAACGGTGTCGAAACAGTGTCGGACGAGTGTCTACCAGGGCCCGACATTTTCGGTGCTCGACCTTCTTTCTGGTGATCACGGCTAAAGTCGGGAGGAATATCAGAAGGATCAAGTAGATTGGGCTCAGATCCTCCCAGAGAACAACAGACAACAATAAAAGCAGATCGACGCTTGAAGTAGGAAGGCACTTGAAGTAGGCTTTGACCTGGGAGTCGATAAGTACCTACTTCCAACGACCGGCGTGTAGGGGGGACCAGCTCAGGGGGGAGGAAAATCGAGCTGAAATCGGCGATACATCGCCGACTGATCGGCGATGGGCCCCCGACAGAAGCGAATCCGCATGCTTCTGGGCGGGAGGGGCTATCGGGCCCTATCCACGATGAATGGGCGACTGGGGCTCGATGCATCCCCTCTCCCCCCCCTGCCTCAGCTGCCCCAGCATGCAACACGCAACACGCAGCGTGCCGACGCGAAGCTCAACACGCAGTCTGAAGACGTAGGCCTGGTGCGATACCTTCGCCAAAGCGCGGGCCAGCACGTGCCGAGTCAACACGCGGCGTGTGTCAAGCGCACGACTCGAGCACGGTCAGCACGTGTGGCGTTCCAACACGGGCGTAGCAGGGCGGCTCTACGCCCCCCATCGTGGCCCCTGGCTGAGGAGAGGCAACAAAAAACACTACCCTAGTGGGCCCTGGAAGCGGCAAGGCCGTTTTTCACCGTTTCCGAAAAAGAGTCCCTTGAAAATGGAAACGGGGAAAAAACGGCGACGGGAAACAGCAGCAAAAACGGCTCCAAGATCGGAACCGGAGCCGGAACCGGTCAAAAAACGGCGACGGAACTGGTAAACAAACGGCGTCGGAACCGGCAAAAAACGGCAAAATGGAACCAGTAAAAAAACGGCCCTGCCGTTTCCAGGGCCCACCAGCTGGGGGGTGGCCTCTCCCTCCCCTCGAGCTGGTGGGACCCTCCTTCCGGGAACTCTCTGGAGGCATGCCCGGCACGATGTGCCAGCAGCCCGAGGGGAGGGTGGGGCAGCCACCCCCCTGGCTGGTGGTAGTGGTGCTCTTGTCTCCTCCTCGCTCCTCCTCCTCCTCCTCCTCTTCCTCCTCCTCCTCCCTCCTCCTCCTCCTCTCCTCCTCCTCCTCCTCCTCCCCCCCTCCTCCTCCTCCTCCTCCTCCTCCTCCTCCTCCTCCTCCTCCTCCTCCTCCTCCTCCTGCTCCTGCTCCTGCTCCTGCTCCTCCTCCCTCCTCCTCCTCCTCCTCCTCTCTCCTCCTCCTCCTCCTCCTCCCCCCCTCCCCCTCCCTCCCCCCCTCCCCTCCCCCCTCCCTCCTCCTCCTCCTCCTCCTCCTCTCCTCCTCCTCCTCCTCCTCCTCCTCCTCCTCCTCCCCCTCCTCCTTGGTGACTGACTCCTGCTAGATCCGATCAGCAGCCCGCCCCCCCCGCCCGCCTGCATTCTCGCTGCAGTTCTCCTTGCGGCGCCTCGAGGGCAGGCCGGCCCTCAGCTGCTGGTGCCGCTGCGGCTGCTGCCGCAGCCGCTCCTGCTGCCTCTGCGTCAGCTCCTCCACCGCCGACCTCATCGCGAGGGCCACGGCATGGGCGTGCTCCTCCCGGGGGCGGACGTCTTTCCCACAGCGGAGCGCCACTCCTGGAGCAACTTCATGTCGCATCCGCCAGCAGCGCGAGACCGATTGCACTGCCGCTGAAATCGTGCAGCAACGCTGGCGTCCATGAGGAAGGATGGGGCGAGGCAGAAACAAGAATAGGGGGCCACATGCGAACCATACCCCTACTCCAGATCATTTCTGAGGGGGGTAGTGGTAGGGTTCGCATGTGGCCCCCTGAAGAAGGAAGCAGGGGATAGATGAGACGAACATGCCCGGATTCGTATCACATACCGGGCCCACGACCAGCGTCGGCCAGCCCTGCGCGTGCGGCAGCTCAGATGATCCCGTGGACGGCAGCAGCAAGAGCAGGAAGGAGGCAACCATAAAATAATGATAAGAAGAAAAAGAAGACGAATAAGAAACCTTTCGGAGGTGGACATGTGCCCAACCTCGCACTTCCAGTGCCAACGTCTCCAAGTTTCGACCAGCCCGGGACGACGATAGTGCATACCAGATGTCCCTTCAGAGAACGAATTCCTCAAGGTCGGCACCAAGCCAAGGTGATGCCACTCACTGGGATGGGGATGTGGTCCGACTTGCGAGGGTACCAAACAACCCTAGGGTGTAAAAGAGCCCGAGGGTATAAACAAAAACACGCGAGGGTATGCCTAAAACTGAGGGCATAGAAAAAACGCAACTGCGAGGATATAGACAACCCCAGGGGGGTTCTCGAATGCCCTCGTTTTTTGTACCCTCGCAAGCCTGAAACAAAGCTGGCAATAGGAGGTCACGTGCGGACCCTGCCACACTACCCCACGATTCCTGAGGAAGAAGGCGGTGCTCACTTCGCTCGGGAGGTCCCGAACGAAGTGAACCCCACCTCCCCCCTCAGAAATCGTGGGACGGTGGGGTTGGGGTTGGCATGAGGCCTCCGAGGCAACCACGACCCCCCTCGAACGAGACACCCTTCCGTGGAACCGACCCGGGCCCAGCCTCCGGGGACGGGGGCCCGCCACAACTGCGGCCGCATGAGCAGCCCCTCGGGATCCGAGGACTGGGCCCGTCGCGGATCGCCCGGGCAAGCTGGGGGCTCTTGGGGGTGGGGGGCTCAGGGGCACAGTAAAAAGACACAAGTCCCAGGGTTCGCAATATGTTCCCCAGTTTCTGGATGTTCGTCTTCCCCTCCACCTCCCCTATGTTTCGCATTCCCATGGGAATCGACGACTGCTTGTGCCTGTGTGTGTTTGGGTCCCTCCTGAGTTCTATCAACTTGCGTTGCTGCTTCTTGCGCTGAGAGTGCAGTATGCGCTCTGAGTGCTCGTTGGGCCGAGTGTCTGGAGGAGCCCCTTAATTAGCAGGTCCCGACGCCGTGGTCTGCGGTCAGACGCGTGCTCGGCCACGCGGGCCCGTCTTACTCCGAACTCGCCAGAGACTGGAGAACAAAAACAAGATCCATGATGCGCCGCCGTCGAGAAACAGTCAGCGTGCTATCGCTGAAGAGGCATCTTCGAACAGACAAGGGAATAACACGCTGACGGGCTCATAACGGCAACGCGACATTGACATTAAGTCCACCAAGTAGGCTTGCATGCATACTTCCAGACTCAATACATGGAGAACTTGTCCCGTGTGCCCTCCCTCTATGTTGCCCCTGCGCGCGTCCGCTGTTGCCGATGGCTTCCTCTGTTGAGTATGGCTTCTGGTGCTATCCGCATGTCTTTCTATTGTGCCCCTTCACGCGTCCTTTGTTGCGCATGACTCCCTCTTGCGCATGGCTTCCTCTGCTAACATCCTCTGTTGCGCATGGCTTCCTCTGTTGCGCATGGCTCCCCCTGCTACCCGCATGGTTTCCTCTGTATCCGCATGGCATCCTCTGCTATCCGCATGGCTTCCTCTGCTATCCACATGACTTCCTTTGTATCCGCATAGCTTATTCTGCTACTGCATTGGCTTCCAGTGGCTATTCCAACGGCACCCAAACAATCGTCCAACGATCGTCAATCTCAGAAGCCGAGCAAAGCAGAAGAGTAGACGAGTAGAGTAGGGCAGAATCGAGTAGGGTAGTTTAGACCAGAGCAGAGTTGAGGACATTCGAGTCAAGCATCTATGACTGACGTCCTGCCCTTTCCTCCCATCCCTTACCTAGAAGCTGACGCCGTTTTACATCCGCGGACGTGTGTCATAGCGAACCTGGAACTCCCAGAAAACAAAACATCGTGTTATGCGTCCTCGGAATTGGGAGCTGTGTTCATGGGAGGAGGGTGGTGGAGGAGGAGGAGGATCTGGATGAGCAAGTGGAAGAGCAGGAGCAAGGGCAGGAGGATGAGGAAAAAGGAGGAGAAACTAGGACGACCACCAGCAGCAGGAGCTGGACTGCAAGGCCTGGGGCGAGCGGGAGGACCAGAGACGGGCGGAGGGGAAGCGAGGGGTGCGACAGCCACGACGAAGGACTCGGATCCAGAAACCGTGGCCCGCGCCAGGACGCGAGCGCCACCTTGACACGACAGGGGGGCGGCGTGCCGATCCGAGCCCGAGGCCCACGCTGCAGCGGGAGCACCGGCCTGAAACTCCGAAACCCAGCGGAGAGACAACGACCACGTAGAACAACTCAACGTTTGAAATCCTGAGTGACAAAAGAGATCGACTCTGATCAAAGTGAGCCGGAATATCATACTTGGGGTGAAGATGAACCGGGTCGGGCAAGACGGAGGGTTCCGCCCTTCCCGCAACAAGAGAACCGCTTGTGGCACCATGAGATATCGGGATCGGAAAGCGCTCCCACCTCGCAAACGAGGAACTCGCGCGCGGCCCAGCTTCCGACGACCTGGCGAAGAGGACACGACGCGGGCCGCGCAGGGGCGGGAGCGGCAAAACGCCCGATGGGCGCGGCGCAGACGGAGCCTGCGCTGCGCTGACCACGGCACTGCCACTCTGACTCACAGGCATGCGCCGCGCCTGGGGCGAGGCCGGCACCCCGCCCGCCCTCGCGCGGCCCCGCTGCCGCTGCCGCTTGCATCTGCGACTCGGTGCACGGGCGGTGCGCCCGCGCCCGCGCCGGAGCGCCACTCTCGAGCGCGCAGCGTGCACGGAGCGGGGAGGGGGGAGGGACGACACGTCGCCCGCTCGCGCGGCTGCCCCTGAAGCTCTCGGCGAGCGCAAGAGAGGTGTGCGCACCCGAAGCGGGGCGGGAGTGCCGCCCTCGGGCCGGAGCTGCGCACGGAGCCGAGGAGCCGAGCGACGTGCTCGTCCGCTCGTGCTGCGACGAGCTCGCGTGCGGCCACTGTGCGCGGCGCCCGGGCGGGGGAGCTCAGCTCTGGCAGCACGGGCGCGGCGCCGAGGCGAGAGCAGCAGTGCGGCCTCTCGCGCGGCGTGCGCGCCCCGTCCCCATCCCTGCCACGCACTTTGCAGCATGGGCGACAGGATGCCAAATGTCGAGACAAAAGGCATTGATGTTGCATCGTGTTTGCAAGTAGGGTGGGACCCCCCGGATCTGGTCGCTACCGGCCGGCTTTGTGGCAGAATCGGAGTATATACACCTATAGCGACCAACAATAACATAACAGAGTTTAGTCGAGTGGGGCAGGGTAGAGGAGGGTAGAGACGGGCACAGTAGAGCAACGCAGAGTAGAGTAGGGTAGATGTTGGGATAGAACTGGGCAGCACAGAGTAGAGTAGAGCAGAGCACATTAGAGTAGGAGAGACTCGATTCGAATAGAGTGGAGTAGGAGTACTTCATAATGAGGTAGAGTAGGAGTGGAGTAGTAGAGTAGAGTAGGGTAGATGGTAAGTAGAGTCAGGTAGAACAGGGTAGAGAGGAGTAGAGTCCACCCCATTCCACCCCAGTCTACTTCAGTCCACTTCATGCCAGGTTTCTGATGCATTTGGAGTCTGCGCTCGCTGGTATCCCCGACCCCCGACAGACGCCCCTGGCCACATCTGCCCGCGGAGCACAGGACTTGGGGCCGGGGCGCGCCAAGGCACGACGGCAGGGTGAGGGCCATGCGGCGCCGCATCCGTCGGGTTTGGACTGCGAACGGCAGACTCGTGTCGCGACGACGTCGGCGTTGAGCTCCGACACCGCGCGGCCTCCCAACAGACCGGACCGTCCGGCGACGACGGATCGCGGGCCACTCGCGGCGCTCCGCCTCGAGCGCCCGCGCCGGAGCCGCCGCCGCGCCGGCGCGGCAGGAGCCTGTCGCAGGCCACCCGCGACCTCGCGCCCGTGAAGAAGCGAAGGGACTGCACAGACGTGACCTCTCGAGGGTCGACCCGGCTTCATTGGGACGGCGCTGAGGCCCCCTCCCCCGCGTGCGGAGCGCGCCAGGGGCGGCGCTGGAGGCGCCTCCACGAGGGTCCTGCGCCATGGCCGTGGGCTCCTCTCGAGAGTCTTATCCCAAGTCCATGGGCTCCTTCTTCTACGAGGCTGTTTCCTTGTCCTGAGCTCTCGGGCCCCTTTCCGAACGCTTGCCCTGAGACCCTGCTCTGACTCCTCGCAAGAACCCTGCCCTGCGACCTTAGGCTCCACTCCAGGCCCAAGAAATCCGCACAGATCTCGTTGTCGTCGTCGTCGCCGCCGTCGTCGTCGTCTTCTTCCTCGTCGTCGTCTTCTTCCTCGTCGTCGTCGACGTCGTGTGCCTGTGCCGTGCTTATTCTTCGAAGAGCGTGGCTTGCCTCCGCACGCCGCCGTCCTCGTCCTCGTCCTCGTCCTCGTCCTCGCCCTCGTCGTCCTCGTCGTCCTCGTCATCGTCCGCACAGTCGTCGGCGACGACGTCGTCGTTCTCGTCGGCAACGTCCTCGTCGTCCTAGTCGTCCTCGTCGTTCTCGTCCTCGTCCTCGTCGTCATCGCCAAACTCGTCGTCCTGACCCTCGTCCTCGTCCTCGCCCTCGCCCTCGTCCTCGCCCTCGCCCTCGCCCTCGTCGTCGTCACCCTCCTCCCCCTGGATCTCCTGGAGCTCCGGCAGCCGGCACCCGGCCGAGATCTGCAGCGTGCACAAGATCCGCTCCTGCAGCCTCCGCACCTCTCGGGTCGGGCGACAAGGGGGGGATAGCAAAGGGGGGGCTTTGAGAATCGGCTCGCGTGGCTGATTCTCCCGGCGCCTCCCAGCGCCGGAGGCGACTGTGCATCGAGGCGTGGGCCCCTCGGTGGGGCCGAAACCAGCGGCATGCAGCAGATTTCGTACCCCCCCCTCTCCCAATCTCTCAGGAGGAGGAGGAGGAGGAGGAGGAGGAGGAGGAGGAGGAGGAGGAGGAGGAGGATCTTCTCCTCTCCCCATCCCCCCCTTCCGTCCGGCCCGCGCCTCGGGCGTGTCGGGCGCCACGCCGCACGGGAAGTCCGTCCGCAGCCGGCCTCGCGGCGGAGCGCAGTGCTGCCGCGCTGCTGCCACGCGGAGCGCCTCGAGCGAGGGGCGAGGGCCCAGCGCTCGGCCCCGAGGGCGCCCGGGTGCACGAGGAGCGCTGGGGGAGGAGCCGTCGGAAGGACCCGAGGGAAGGAACGGCGAGCCCCTTCCGAGCCCGCACCGTCGTGTCGGCGTCTTGGCTGCAGGGGGGGAAGGGTCTGCACGAAGCGGCGGTGGACAAAACTTCCTTTAGTAAGCCTCCCTTTAGTGAACACGGCCCAGGACCGAACCTGAATGACGCCCGCGACGCCCTCTCGCGAGCCGAAAACGGCCAATTCGCTAGTCGACGTGTCAGGGTAGGGAGTGTATCCACCTCCGAATGAACAAACAAACAGCGGGGTCCCGCGCGGAGTTCTTGCATCGGCGCTGGACCCCTGTCCCTGGCGCGCGGAACGAGCCAGGGGCTGGACCTTCGAGTGCACATGCTTGTGCAATGTGTTCTTCTTCGACCAAGGCAACGTGACACACTATCAGACCAAGTGTTCCCCTAACTGCGAGACCAAAGCTGTTCATACATTGAGGGTGCTCAGGGAAACACGCTCGCCACGTGACTCACCCTGGTGGAACGGAGAAAGGGCTCTCGCCTGGAGACAGTCCCCCATGGAGGCCTCACAGAGAAGAGAGAGAACGAGAAGAACTGGGGGAGGAAGAGGATGGGACGGAGTAGACATGGAGGACGGACGGATGGATGGATGGTGGAGAGATAGTAAACGTGGATGGTAGACATTGATTATTAGAAGGATACATGGGAGGCAGTTGACAAGGATGAAGGGATGAAAGATGGATGGATGGACACCGAGGGGCGGCCGGTTTCATTCAGGGATGAATGGACAGCGAGGGATGGAGGACAGATAGATGGATGGATGGCACAGATGGAGGATGGCGACTTTATTCAGGGGGATTCTCAAGGGGAGGTTTTGGGGTCCTGTTCTCAGATATGTTCCTTGGCTTTCTGGGGGGGTCCATGGAGCTCGAGCTGGAGGAAAAGGATGAGGACGATGGGGAATATTGATGGGGGTCGACGAAGAGTACTGGTTGGGACAACATGAAGAGCGAGGAAGAGAAATAGCACATACATGAGACGAGGCGTAGGAGTGTAACATGAGGAGTAAGGGGGAGGAGGCAGTCACTGGGGTAGAGGAATGTATACTGAAGATGAGAAGGGTGCTGACTTAGAGTCACGCCGCAGTCGCGATCACGCGCCTGCAGATGGTCCATCATCGAGGCACATACAAACACATGCGATTCCGACTGCAGTGTGTTTGCTAACTGCCCACAGGTAGGGAACTCGAGAAACACCGCCCACTTCTGCATTTCCCGCCCCTCCGATATCCTCTGGGCCCTGCTGCTCCGTCTTCTCCGTGTCCTGCTGCTGCTCCTCCTCCTGAACATCGACTTACAAACTTCCCTCCTCCTCCTCCTCCTCCTCCTCCTCCTCCTCCTCCTCTGCTTCCTCCTCCTGCGCATCGTGTCCCAGAGCTGTCCTGGGGCGCGTTCTGGCCCAGATTTCGAAGGCGAACCTGGCTGTGGCGACGAGCCCCGTCCCCCCCCCCCCCCCAGACGACCTCCACAGCGCAAACGCAGAAGGCATCCCAGGCACTCCTCCTCCCTCGAGGCCTGCGCCCTGGGTGGAAGCAGACGAGGGCGGCCAGGGCGGTGCGGCGCGGGCCGCGACGGGGAGGTCGCGCGAGCGCGCGCCCTGCTGCCCCCGTCTCTTCCCCCTCTGCGCTGCTACCTCCCCCCCCTCCCCCCCTGCCTCTGTCTCCTGCTGGCCAGGGCCTGCCGCGCCCCGCTGCCCCCTCTGCTGTCCCCGATCCTCCCCCCTCCCCCCTCCTCCGCGTCCTCCTCCTCCTCCTGCCCCTCCTCCTCATTATCAGCATCATCACCACCACCATCAGCCTCATCCTCATCCGACGCGACGCGCTTGCCAAAAAAGGATCCTCCTAATTCTCCTGCTCCCTACCCCATCATGCTCCATCTTCTCTCGTCCTCCTATCTCCTCCTCCGCCTAATTCTCCTAATCCTCCTCCTCCTCCTCCTCCTCCTCCGCCTCCTCTTCGAGAACCTCCCCCTTCCTCCGTCATCATGCCTTCCCGATCCCCCCCTCCTGCTCGTCCTCCTCCTGATCCTTATCCCTCCTCCTCCTCCTCCTCCTCCTCCTCCTCCTCCTGCTTCTGCTGCCATCGATTTCCTCCTCCTCCGCCCCCTCCACCGACGCCGACGCCGAGGCCGAGGGCGACGCCGACGCCGACGCCGACGCCGACGACGAGAGACGACATGGGATTCGTGGCCGCAGGCCTTGGCGAAGCAACTCCTCCCAGTCCTCCACGGGGGGGCGCGGAAGCGGCGCGTCAGGGACGCGGGAGAGGAGAGGGGGAGGCGGCCAGGAGGAGGCGCGAGCCCTGGGCCAGCCAGGGCTGCACGACGCGAGCCCTGGCCGTGCAGAAGTCCCCCGGGAGTGCTCGTCCCATCGACATCGCGCACTGTAGAAGAAAGAGAAACAACAGAAGCATAAACTCTTGGCGCTCCGCGCGGATTTCTTGGATCTGCGCTCGACCCACCTCCCTGGCGCGCGGAGCGCGCCACAAGCGGCACCTCAGGCGCCGTCGGGTGGGGCCCAGCACGGATCCAAGAAATCCGCGCGGAGCGCCGGAAGCTTATGTTTATGGCGGTTTTGCGTCTTCAACACTAGTTGGCCAACTGAATAACCAGCACGGGATGGAGAACAAGGAAAGCCGTGGGACAGGGATGGTCCGGCTTCACGTGGCTTCCGGACCGGGTAGGCCAGAGGGGATCGGAGGAGATCGGCTGCCCCCTACTCGCACTGGCCACCATCTATATCTCGGCTCTACATGGCTCCCAGAACGGGGTCGGCCAGAGGAGATTAAAGGAGATCGGCTGCCCCTGTCTCGTGCTGGTCACCCTCTGTTAGGTCGGGCGTGTCCTGGCGGAGATAGAACGAAAAATAAAGCATGGCCAAACAAATACAAATCGTCCTCAAATTTTTGTTTTGACTATTTCTGCAGATTCCCCCTGTAGAGGGACATGCCCGACTTTGACTCTACCACTCCTCCTCCTCCTCCTGCTCCTCCTCCTTCATCCCTCAAAATCAGCCCCCCGACTTTCCTGGGGGTGCGTCCTGGCCAGAGCCTCGAAGGCGATCCAGGCGTGGCGACGAGACGCTCCTCTGGAGATCCAACATGGGTGATGCACGTCTAGCCACCCCGATCCTTAATCCTGCAACCTCGAACCTCGACCTCCCCTCTCCTTTCTCCTCCCTGACTCCTGCTTATCCTCAGCTCGAGGGGTGGTACAACTCAGGATGAGAATCGGGCCCTGGGACAGTGGTCGAGGTCACCAGGGGCCCACGTCTCAAGAACGGCTCGACGAGCGCTCCGAACGCTCTTGGCCGATCTGCTCCTGTTTTGCCCTTGGCATGCCTACGTCTAATCGCGCAGGCGTCCTGGCGGCACGAGGGTCCTGGGCCCCGGGGATTTCCCCATGGCCGACTTGTCAGCCCGAGCCGTTTCTCTTCGCACCGCGGCGCAGCGACGGTGCCAACCCGTGCAACAACGGTGTGAGGAGACACGGCGCGCCAGGCGAACCGAGACCGCAACGTGCACCGACCTGCCGTAGGCACGCACACGCCGTGGACCCTGACCAGGGGGGCAGAGCGGAAGCACCGAAGTCCAAACGAAAGAAAAGGAGGGGGGAAAGGATGAGGAGAGAGGGGGGCAGATGGGGGAGAAGAGGAGGAGGAGGAGGAGGAGGAGGAGGAGGAGGAGGAGGAGGAGGAGGAGGGAGGAGGGAGGAGGAGGAGGAGGAGGAGGAGAAAGAAGAAGAAGAAGATCCCGAGCTGTTTGACCGACTGACCCGGGCCCCATGGCAAGGACGCCGGAGCCCGGAGACGCCGAGGGGCGCGCCTCCCGGAACCCCGCACTCCTCTGCGCCCCGGCGCTGGAGATTCGGTCCCCGGGCCTTTTCCAGGGTGCGCGCTGGCCAGGCACGCGCGAGGCGGATCTGGCCGTGGCGACGAAGAGGCCTCCCAGGAGGCTCAAGAAGGCTCCCTCACGCAAGAACACGCTCTGTCCTTGTTTTCTGAATTCATTTTTTGTTTTGAATTCAAACATTTTGAATTCAAGAAGCCAGCCTAGATCCTCGAATCCCAGGTTCCCCCATTTCCTTCATGCTAATGTCGCACACGGCGGCAGCACTACCGAAAGCCTAGCAAACCGACAGCGAAACCGAAACCGACCCCAACCGCCAGGCCGCAAGCAGCCTGGAATGGCCCAGCGACGCAGCAACAACACAACAACCACAGACAAAACCGAGCCGACCGCAACAGACTGCGACGCAGCCGAACAGACCGAACCGCGGACGGGAGGAAATCGCGGCCGCGGGGGGGTCCTCTGGCTGCACGTCGTGCGGTCGCAGGGTGGCGGCCGGGAGCTCCCCAGCGCTCACGAGGCCGAGGCAGAACAGGCCCTGCGCCACCCTTCTCGGGGAGATCTCCTGCGGCGGGGCAACTGCAGAGGCTAGCTTTCGAGAACGCCATGTCGTCATAGCGCTGCCGACTCGAGACTCGGTCACGTGGGACGGCATCCAACGTCACGCATCACCTCGAGCACACCATCTGGACATAGCGCTGTCGACTCGCGATTCGATCACATGGATCAGATGGGTCACATGGGGCGCCAACCCGTCGTGCTAAGCCTCGAGCGCACCATCTCGTCGCAGCGCTGTCGACTCGCGATCCGACCCTCTAGGATCGAGAGGGGAGGTTGTGGCAAACCCTCTGGGAGAAAATGCGTGTCAGGAGGTTGGTCTAAGGAACCTGACCTCCCCAGTGGTCCGCAGGATGTGACCCATGAGCTTCCCCTGCTGGGGACTTTGTGGGACACGTCTCAATGATACGTTGAGCCATGTGAAGCAAGTGAAGAGCAGGCGAAGGGAGGATTACGGGTACGGTAGGTTCGTGCGGCGTCGGCGCGGGCAAAGGTTTTCGACACCACGTCGACCGTTCAACCCTGAATCGATCGTGGCCCAGATCGTTCAAGGTTGTATTCCGTCGGGTACAATGGCGTCAACGTGTCCCTCGGTGCTTCCGCGTCGCAAAGTTCAACCTTGAACGCCCTTGCTGGTGTCGCCAGCGCGCCATCGCCGCATGAACCTACGAAACACCAACATACTCAACCTTCCCAGGCTCTGATGTGTTTATTTTGCCAACCCGCTGCCTCCACTTGAAGTCGTGACTGGCCCAAGCAGATCCAGAACTGCCCGAGAACTGATCAAACCACCTGTTGCCCTCGCGCGCGACTGCAGAGGAAGGACCGTGCCCGATCCTGCAGGGCACAGCTTCTCAAGAAACACTCCGAAGCGGCAGGTGCCACATGCCACGGCATCCAGTGCCCGGGCCGCCGCCGCAGCATGCCGTGCAGGCAGCGCGGGCGCGACAATGCCGCGGGCAGCTGGACGCCAGCCCCGCGTGGCGGACTGCTGCCGCCACGACCCGACACCCCGCCCAGCGGGCCCCTGCCTCGTCGAGACAAGGGGCTTCCCGGGCCAGGTCGGGTGCTCATTCACGGGGGGGGGACAAGAACGC